TCCTTTACTGCATAAGAATTTAATAAAAAAAAAAATAGAAATTTAATAATATCATTGTGATTGAGAATAAATGAAATAAATGAAATAATACAAAAATAAAGAAAAAAAAATACCAATTTGACTATATCTCTATATTTTTATCGCAGGTTTCATTTCATTCATCTTCAAGAATAACGAAACGAAGTGAGATAAATAGAGGAAAATAAGCTCGGCAAATTGATATCGTTTAGTATCTTCTCGCAGTGGAGGGAAAACAAATAACCATAGCTGAAGTTTGAGAAATCTGTAGGGTCGTTAATAATCGTGTTTGTGGTAACCAGTCAGAGTATGAGGAAGAAGAAAAAGAGCAATTGCTACGTTTAATAAATATAGGAAAATATTATGTGTTGACGTGAAACTGTACTGACGTTAGTGAGAAAAATAAAACAAAATTGCAACAATTAGGTATACCTAATATATAAGTATAGCAGTATAATTTCAAATCTATTAATAATATTACAAATATTTTCAATAAGTTATAACAATCGATTATTAATAGTTTAGTTTCTATCCGTAATAAAAATTGTTGTTAATTGAAATTTTTGATTAAGAGTATATTTTGAAAATGTTTAGACCGTTCGTTTCTAAAGCAAGTATCGATCTTCCAACAAAACAGTCCTTCCCATTCTGTATCCTACGTTCATTGTTCTCGTAATTTCATTCGAATTCGTTTGGTAGGTAGCCCGGTCGTCGCTATGGAGGATGTCAAAACGTTCATCGATCCACGTGAACGTGATTTCATGGTACCCGAAACGAAATGATAAGGTTAACTCATTCGACAGAACTTACAGTGAATGTAAAATAATAATTCAAAAATATAAATACAAAGTTTAATTAATTTAACAAAAAAGAAATACAACAGAAAATTAATAACTCGAATGATATTAAGCGAGGAGTGGCGAGGGGGGAGGAAGAGAGGGAAGGGAAAGGGGGGAGACAGAAAAAACCTACGAAAACAATATTTTCAAAAGAAAACTAATCTTTAGAAATTTCTAAATTTTTCTCATGAATATATTCTTCTACGAACATTTTTAATTACGTGCATCTATAATAATATCGAAAGTTTTTTAATCTATCTTATTCCAGCCAACCCTTCTTTCCATTATTCCTTATATATCATCAAGAGGAAACGTTAGGAGTAACTACCATTACCAAGAGAAATTCATGTAATTCGATATGAAAGAAGAGACACTTAGTTCAATGTCTCATCTTCGTCATCATAGTAGTGTTATAAGCATTTCACTAATCTAACTTGTGAAATTGTGCGCAAGAATTAAGATCGTCGTTAAAGTAAAGAAAGAGAAAGAGATAGAGAAAGAGAAAGTGAGAGAGAAAGTGTAAGTTAGAGAGTAAGATAGAGATAGAGTAATGGTAGGTAAAGATCTGAAAGGTACTTGATGCCATTGGTAGCAAGGTAGAGAACCATGCCGTTGACAGTTTGTAAATGATCCAGTTTGCCGGCTGAGAAAGTGAGAAATAGGGAAGAAGGGCTTGCTAAAGGAATAGGATAGATATATATATATATAAATTTAGAAAGAGATAGAGAGAAGGACGAGGATGAATCTCGTTCCAAGAAAGGGAAATGAGTATAGAAGAGAAGCCTCTGGAAAAGGGGTGGAATGGTCCCCGTTAACTATTCATCTTCGTGGCGATCCAACAAAACTTTCCGACCCGTTTTACCCGCACCTACGGAATACTAAAACTGTTGCGAGACGAATCTTCTTCTTCTTCTCCTTCTTCAAGCATTGCGAATACATAACCGATAAGAAATTGTAAAGGAAGTTTATTCGATCCTGAATTATATCCGCTATTTTCTAGACATCAAATTTGAAATTGTAATAGTGGTGTAGAGTAACGTTACATCACTATCTTTTTGTTAAAAAAGGAACGAAAATAATTTGAAATTATTATAGCTTATATTTATATGATCAATATTTTTTTTTATCGTTATTTTAAATAAATTATATCGAATTTATTCTATTACGATATATTATAACTCTGACACAATTTTGCTTTTATTATAAATTAGTATCGATCATTTAATAAAAAAATAACTGACGGCATTTTATAATATATATATATCGAATAAAATATTGGTATAAAAGTGATCATTAGTTTTTGAACAAAATATTGATCAAATAAATAAAAGCAAAACTGTTGTTCAAATAAGTATTTTAAAAATATAATATTTTAGCGTCTCGAGCGAAAGTAAATTAAATGGACGTGAAATTTCGGTGAAATTAGGTTATTTTCTTTTTTTCTTTTTATTATATATCTATATTGTTTATGAATTTCCTTCCAGTTCGTCGATCCGTATATCGTAGATCGTCCTACGAACGAGCATTTAATGTGAAACAGACCGGGGCTCTTCTACAAGCTGGACAACGAACAAACGAACGGACGGCTTGTCATTTGCATACAATGAACCCATGGTCGCGTTAACTGCTCGGGGATGCGGAACGAGCTACAAGTCACCTGGTACCAGTAATTGAAATGAGGGAAGTTCTTTGGAAGGGTAGTTTCCAAGAGATGATCATCGTGGGATGACCGAGAGAAAACTTATACAAAGACAATAGAAATTTTATATTGCGATTCAAAAAAAAAGGAACTTTAAAATGATGCAATTGAAGAATGAAAAGTATTCCCGTATTGAAAATGATCGATTATAATATTGATCTATTCAAAGTATGCGATACGTAATATATTATATTATATATATCAATCGTATATTAATTATCTCATTATATTACAAAAGATATTAATCGTGTAATAGTATCTGTGAACAAATTGAATGAGAAGATGAACGAAGGAAAGATTGGCGAGTTCGTTAATCGCTCGATTTTTAATTATTTCCAACAGCGAATAGTGGAACGAGCCAAGAAAAACCTATGTCGATGGTGAGTAAATGGGAAGAGTCCTGTTGGAAACGGTTAATAAGTCCCGAGAAGGGGATCAGATAAAGAGAGAGAGAGAATGATAGAAAGGGAAAGGAAAGAGGAATGGTGCGGAGCTGAAAAACCCCTTGAAACTTTACAGACTAGGAGAATGAACGAAACGAGAGTGAGGACGAGTCGTTGCTTTCGATGTTGCTGTTACTGATGTTGGTAGTAGTAGTAGTGATAACGATGGTAGTAGGTACCCGGTGATGGTGCTGACATCGCATAGAGAGGGTAGAGTTTAATTAAATATCACACGACATATTATGGGGATGAGATAGACGCACCGTGTAGATTGCTCTTGCTCTTGCTCTTGCTCTTGCAAGTAAACGTCAGGGACAGAACTCGATGTTGAAAAGTTCAAACGAATCGAACCCTAGAGAAGGTAGTTTCTGGATATTATCATTGAGTAGGTAACCACCCTAGACCCTAAACGACATTGGTGTCCGGATATAGAGAGGAAATGTCGAGACATTTTTGCTTCACTGGGGTGTGCGTCTGTCCCCTTATTTTTTTTCTTTTTGTTTTTTTTTTTTTTACAAATATCGACTACTCTGAAAATTCCATCGGACTGATCCCTCGACTACTTTTTCTTCTTCTTCTTCTTTTTTTTTTCTCCCTTTCTTACAACCGTCATTTTCAACACGTTTAACAATAACGAAGTAACCGACAATTCGATTCGATTTTCGACCAAGCAAATTTCTTCGAGTCTTTCTGTGAAATGAAAAAAAAAAAAAAGAAACAAAACTTTAAGCAATAAATCTAATATATAATATCGTAATACGTTAACAATAATGAAGAATTTAACTTAACCCCGAGAGGATTTTATTTTCGTATCGTTAAAACACGAAGAACGTTGTTGATGATTACTCAGAAGTAAATCCAAAGTCACGTTGAAATTCTCAAAGGATTCTCTCTTACTTGGAGATTGCGTGCAGGGACTTACTTATGTTAGTCCAAAGCTACCATCGTCACCCATCCAGGATAACAGGAGAGGGCAAAGGAAACGTTTACTCGTTGCGTTTACACAGTTTCTTCCGGTGGCTTGAACTCCTACCTATCTACCTACCTACCTACCTACCTTCCTTCGATTCATACCACCACATCCTACGATACTCTACGAATTAAAAGCCCATGAATATGGTAAGGATGCAAATTCCAGGATGGTGTTTACTCGGGATCAGTGTTACTCGGCAATCTGCATATTTGAGTGTCAGAGAGACACTGGAATGAGAGAGAGAGAGAGAACTGTGCTGGTCTATGTCAAGCCTATCAGTGTCCCTTATCTCTCTTTCTCTATCACGATCTTTCTGTCGTTGTTGAGTAGGGTTGGAAAGTCTAGAATTTAAACTAGATACTGCCCATGCGAGATAACTATGGAAGTTAATTACCACGAGACGAGACATTTTCCTCCTGAGTACATCACTTAACTGCCAGAGACTTGTTTAATGATCTGTTTCCTAATCACGAATCGAAATGTACTTAAACGATCGATTACATTTTCGAATTGACAAGTAGGATGAGTATATCGATGAACGAATGATCGATAAATCACAAATATTAAACTCCCCGAGCGTGATTATTAATCATAAATCAATATTTCATTTAAGAAGCTAAATGATAGGGATCGTCGTTCTGACATTTAACTTGATCCACTCGAATCCTTTTGAACAATTTCTCAAAGTAATCAAAATGTCTAGTAGGTACCTGTACAAAAGAATTTCTTAAGAAGGCAACGTGTAGGAAAAGCAAGATTCGTTCGATAGATAATAAGAAGAAGCTGCTTGAAAAAAAAAAAAACTCAGGAACCATCTTCGATCTATCGATAATTGTATAGATGAACGAACCACTTGGTTCAATTCTATGACGATAGCTATAGTTCCTTCGTTATAATAACGATCATTATTAAAGTTTAATCATGAACAAATAAAATAATCCGATTAGAACAATTCCCATTATCAACGAGTCACGATGAGAATATACACATTATATATTTCAATATATACAAATAATTATTTAACTTACCTGTATATGGTCGACAATAATTGCGATTTACTTTGCTGTAAAGCGTTGGCAAAGATGCTTCAGCACCTGGCTCAATATAAGCTTTACTCTTGCTATCTCTAGGATCACTGTACTGTTCCACGATCTCAACTTCTGCCTAAAACAACAAATAATACATTTTTTTTTTTAATAATATTACATTGACATTTCTTTATATGGTATAATAATTAAAATTTATATTTATATTACAAACATAAGGAATATGTTATATAATAATAAAAATATATCATATTTTTATTAAGAAAAAAAAAAACATACGCATTTGGCAAGAGGATACTATAATAATTATTAGCATTAACCGCTTCGACAATACTAATTTGGCAGCGGTTCTACTTCTTTCTTCTTTCTCCTTCTCTCTCTCTCTCTCTCTCTCTCTTTCTCACTCACTGTAAAGTTTGTACTTAAACAGTGACGTCTAGAGCTTCCTCTCTTTAGGGGCCACCACGAGAAAGGGTTATTGCCAGAGTTTCCTTCGCCTAAACGTACGAAGCACGTTAACTCCAAACCGTTTCCACCATCTGAACGTAGCCAATTGCGGTAATGCCTTGGCTGAAGTTAGAGAGAGAGTAAACATTTTATACTATACCCATTAAATGATCGTTAATTTCCAAAAGAGAAAACAACATATTATTTTTATGTAAAATTTTGGATCACCATAAAAATATAATTTTATTAAACAATACCACAAGAAAATATATCAATAATATTTAATTGATGACATTATTGATATAATTAAGTATTAACATACACACACATTAATTGATGATTTTATTAAAAGCTAATAAAGTAAAATTATTAATACGACGAAAAGATATCCAATAGTAATAGCATATAATATTTAATAGAGATTAATTAAGGAATTGATCCTAAATGTACTACCCATCCCCCACCACCACCCCCAATCTATTCAGGCTTAGATAACATTGATGAAACTTATCAATAAAACGGAAGGGAGGAAAGCAAAGCATTAAGAAAAATACACAAACTGTCTTGAACAAATCGACTTGGTTGATTGAGCGAAGAAAAAGTAACTTTGGGCTACACCCACCACCACCACCACCACCACAACCACTGCCAACCCATTTCTCTGAATATATTTTTCCTTTACCCACCCTTCATTCCATCGTACGTTCCTACTCCTCACCAAGTAAGAAACTTTCCCTCTCGCTAATAATTCTTCTCTCTTTTCACTTTCTTCGATATTAATGACAACATCGAGATAATGACAAGGTAATAACGATGTCCTCGGGCAAATAATAAAGAAGAGAAGTACGAATCGAAGAAAAATCGAAAGATAGATAACCGGAACGTAGTGTAAAAGAGAGAGAGAGAAAGAGAAAGTTAAGATTTCTTGAGCAAGAAAACGTCTGATCAATGGGAAGAAGAGTCTCTGTCTTGTTTTTCTTACAGATAAAATGGTATGAGTGTATCAGAAGGCAAATAAAAACAAAAAAGTGGATAACTGAGACGCTGGAGTGCTGGCTGGCTGGCAGAGAGATGAGCCACCACCACCACAGTATCACCAAGAGAGGAAGAAGAAAGATGAGAAGCTATCCGAGCAAAAACGTTGCTAGAAAAGTGGGAAAGAGAGAGATAAATAGAGAGAAAGAGAGGAAGACGGGAACAACCTGGAAGGTTTGAGATGGATGAGAAGACGGCGAAGAAGACAAGTAGCCTTAAATTGAAAGAACCCGAAATTGGAATTCTCCTGCCAAAGTTGAACGTCGTCGCTAGCTGCCCTCGGGGGGTTGTTCCTCAAGGCGAAAAGGTCTGTCTCGATTCACCACCATCTTCTTCTCTACCCTCCTCCTTCCCCCGTTAAAGAAAGTGAACGAGTAAGAAAGAAAGAAAAAGAAGTCCCTGGTAACACATAAATTCGTGGATGTTTATACGGAAATTACGAAGGTACCTTTCGACGATAGGAGAAGTAAATAAGTATGGTACGAGAGAAAGTCTCGATCCATGGCTGTTGAAAATTTGACTCTGACGAACCGAATCCCTATGACTTTTCCCACTAATGTAAACATCACCAATGAGGTGTATCATTTGAATGAGCAAGCTGTCGTTTCTCGGTTTTACTTCGATTAAGTCGACACATCGACAAATATTGCGAATTTATAATAACTTTTCTCTTAACGAACAAGGACTCTATTTCTATGAAATTTCAATCAAATTTCTATTACAATTTATTTCTATCATTTATTCAAAGACACATAATATAACTTAAACTTTATTTCTTTTTAATATCTATATTTACAATATATATATATTATTTTTATTTTCTATTAAAATTTTACGATCGATTAGAGATTCATTTTTGAATTATGAAATAATAAGTATGTGAGGAAGAAAAAAAAATATAATAATGCGAGTAAATGGATAAATGCATGATATAATAATTCGTATTAACCCCGACCCCTATTCTTTATTTCTGCCATATTGCACGAACCTTTCGTTACTTTCCGCGGAATGAGCAAACGATTTTGAATGGATTATTACGTAAAAGGTAGTTGTTTCCCTTCCCTTCTTTCTCTCTCTCTCTCTCTCTCTCTCTCTCTCTCTCTCTCTCTCTCTCTCTC